TAAAACTTATCAATCGTTTTGTATGTTGGAGACGGTTGTTTACTGTATGTGCATACTTGAACACATACATACATATATTTCGAGCTGCACACCTTTAAGTTAGTGCAAACATTACACAAAGCTAAAATATATTTTTGTTGCTGTGAACGATGTTAAAAATACAATAAATTTTTGTTTTATTTTCGTTCGACATAGTTTCGTTCATATTTTCCTTAAATAAAAATACATGCATATACAATCGTTTCTGTCATGCGCCTGTGCGGATTATTATAAATAGGTTCAGGTTATGATATTCTATTTCTTCTATTTCACTAAATAGATTTCCTTCCGAAAATATCGAATATACTTGCTATTATAACTAGAGGATTTGTATAGATCGAAACTATCAGTGCAGCTAAAAACCCCTCTTGTCTTTGGGTTATGAGAAGGTATCTAAAATTTGACATTATTATTAGCATTAAATGTGTATTTGTTACAATAGCTCCCCATAAAATAATCTGTCTATTTCTGAATTATCATTTTTAATTTTTCCGGAGTATGATAAAAAACAATCGAAAAGCAACGTTCCTTTTAAAAATATGTGCTAATTGCAGAGTTTATTAATTCAATTTTCTTTCGTTTTACATTTTAGGAGCTCTGGCATATGCTGAACTTGGCACAATGAATACCTCGTCTGGTGCAGAATGGGCGTATTTTATGGATGCCTATGGACCGGCCCCGGCATTTTTATTCTCATGGGTATCAACATTGGTGTTGAAGCCATCTCAAATGGCTATAATATGCTTATCATTTGCACAGTACGCTGTTGAGGCCTTTGTGACAGAATGTGATCCGCCTGGGGGCGTTGTTAAGATGGTTGCATTAGTGGCAATAGGTAAGAATTGCACGTTATCTGCAATACACGTTTCAAAGCGTATCTAATAACTTATTTTTACTGTATTGGCCAGTGATGATATTGTTTGTGAATTGCTACAGTGTCAATTTGGGAATGGCCGTGCAAAATGTGTTTACGGCTGCAAAATTAGTAGCCGTTGTCATAGTGATATGCGGCGGAGCTTGGAAATTATTTCAGGGCAATACGCAACATCTATCAAATGCATTTAATGGGCCAATGCCAAACATTGGCGCTATCGCAACCGCATTTTACACAGGCCTTTGGGCATATGATGGTTGGAATAATCTAAACTATGTTACCGAAGAGATTAAAAATCCCAGTAAAAACTTACCGCGATCTATTATTATTGGCATACCACTGGTTACTCTGTGCTACGCGCTGATTAATATCTCTTACCTAGCAGCTATGTCGGCTCAAGAAATGATCGAATCCGAGGCGGTTGCTGTGACTTTCGGCAATCGCATTCTAGGCGCTCTTGCCTGGCTAATGCCACTAAGTGTCACTGTCAGCACATTTGGAAGTGCGAACGGCACGCTTTTTGCCGCAGGACGGTACGTTACAATCTCACTACGATTCACAGCATATTACGTCTATATATATTTTTGCAGTCTCTGCTTTGCAGCAAGTCGAGAAGGACATTTGCTTGATATTTTATCATATGTACATGTACGACGCTTAACTCCTGCTCCTGGCCTTATATTCCACGTAAGACCTATATCAACAGAAACACAGGGCAATTCCTATCTAACCCAAGCTGTCACTCTTTCTTCATTTCTTTCTATTTCTGTTTTCTTTCTTTCTTATAGTCGTTAATTGCATCTGCAATGGTGCTACATGGTACTATTGATTCGCTGATTGATTTCTTCAGTTTTACCGCATGGATATTTTATGGTGGCGCCATGCTGGCACTAATCGTGATGCGCTACACCAAACCCAACCATCCTCGGCCATACAAAGTGCCAATCATCATTCCTGTTGTAGTTTTGGTTATATCTGTGTATCTAGTAGCAGCGCCAATTTTCGAAACTCCCCGTATTGAATATTTATATGCTTTGCTCTTTATATTTGCGGGCCTGATATTTTACGTCCCTTTTGTTAAATTGGGAATGACCCCACGCTTTATGAGTAAGTATACATGCCAAATAAATACAGAAATCCTAAAACTATTTTTGTTTTTCTACGTTATTTCAGATAAGGTGACTCTATTCTTTCAGTTGCTACTGGAAGTTGTTCCAACATCATCAATGGCTATGTTTGAATAATTAGTTTCTATGTGCTCAATATACATAAATATAATAATTAAAAAGTTTGGATGAAAAACAAAACCCAAATTTAAAATAATTATATATTTATAAAAACGAATATTTCATAGATTTCATGTACATATGTATATCAAATATATAAATATAATAATATATATATATATATATATATATATATATATATATATATATATATATATATAGATTAATGTAAATTAATAATGCCATGTCAATAGAAAATGTTTATTTTTAAGCAAAGAATTGAGCTATAATTTAAATTACAAAAATTCGATGTTAACTATGTGAAAACTGCAATTATATTTTAACAAAATACAAGAAACAGTCCATTTTTTAATTTTCCAACATAAAAACTTTGTGAATTAGATCCCACTCAAATTTGCATTTGCTTGGGTCCCTTATTTTAAAGTGCGATAATAAAAAAATAGGACGTCAAAATCAATGCGCTTCGGTTGTGTAGCCGGAACTTTATATGAAGTCCCTATAGAGTATGATAGATGTACCAAGCTCATCCTGTGAATACTTATGAATTTCCTGGCCGAACCAAATCAATCAATTCGCAAAAATTAAATATACTTATTAATTAGTGCACTAACGTGATTTTGTTGAGTTTATACAACTTATGGACTAATGATAGGAAAGTAATGCATTTGTATATAAATGTAGGTTTAAATATACACACTCGTCACAAACATATATGTGAAGTTCAAATTTCAAAAGATCTAACATCAAGCTTCAGGTTTTTAAAATTTCCCCAGGCAGCTATTGAACACTTTGAAGTTGTGCATGAGCAGACTGTCAGAAGAGAAGTAATGGGACCCCTTGGGAAATATAATTATAGTTTAGTGCTTAGCTGCTTATGCCAGCATACATATCTTTGACAGAGTAAAGAGCGGAGAGTAAGCATAAGTAAGTGTAGCTAGAGAAACTGTATATAAACAAGTAAGAAAGCTCTAGTCGGGGTGCCCGACTAGGAGATACCCTGATCCCAGTCCTTTGAGTTTTGTAATATTTTCCGTAGTTTGTATCGAGTATTAAAAAAAAAAAGAAAACAAATAAAAATCGACATTGCGAGACCAGGATTCGAACCCGGATTATTTGCGCAACGTGCACAAACTACCAACACCGCCACTTCATAACTAAAAAAAAAAAATAATACAAAAAACATTTCATCTCCTCTGGTCTCGAACCCGGACCAAGCTGCATACGAGCGGCGCCTCTACCAACGCAGCCACTGCCCTTCTTACGCGAGCTGTTGCAAATTTGAACATAAGTAGCAGCTAATAATTCAGCACAATTCAATCGCAATTTCAATTCTTGGAATAGAAAAGAATACACGCATTTGAATGTATGTGTGCACACGCATAGGAAAAATGCGTGCGCGTGGCGCTGCTGACATGTGCTTTTGCAAATTGGCCAAACGTTTTGTTTAATAACTTCTGTTTTACTTAATGGATTTTAATGAAATTTTCAGCATATGATCTACATATCCTATTGGCTTGGTTGAGATGCAAACGCCTTCACATAATAGCCCTAGTTCGAACTAAACTTAAATTCTAAGAATTTGGGGGAATTTGGAGCCGGTATCCAAAATCCAACAAAAATCAAAATTGCATAAAATATACATAAGACTAAATACAAAATTTGGAGGCTCTAGCTCTTAAGACGTTCGAGATATAATTTATTTACTGCATTTCAATAATGTTTTTATTCGATAACAATTAAACGGAATAGTTATCGAATATTTGAAACAAACTTGACCTGCGCGTGCTATACACGGACCTACAAAAAAAATTTCAAGTCTCTAGCTCTTATAGATGCTGAGATCCACGCGTTCACACATACGGACAGACGGACGGACAGACAGACGGACAGGGCTCAATCGACTCGGCTTGTCGTCCTGATCAAGAATATATATACTTTATGGGGTCTGCCACGCCTCCTTCTGCCTGTTACATACATTTGCACAAAACCATTATACTCTGATTTCCCATTTTTAATGGGATCAGGGTATAAAAATGACTGCGGTTGATGTTGAGGTCACACAAAGGGACCCCTGAAAATGCCAAGATAAGTGGGACCTAATGCACAAATTTTGTGTTGAAAAAGTTTTTTTCTAGATATCGCACCTACTGTCGCAGTGATACAAGCAAAGAAATATGTACATATGTATGTATGTATATCTAAAGGTGCAAATTGCATGAAATCTGAGTGATGCGCAATAAATAGAAGCCCCGTCATCATATAGAAAGTGTTTATCTTCTAGATAAACTTTTTCCTCATTATTATTAATTATTCTTTAAGAACCCGATGTATTTGTGATTTGTTTATGCGTTTGTATGTGTGCATGTATGTATCTTATGATTTTAAAACAAACGAAGCATATGAAAGAAAATACAGATAAATTGACATGCAGAAACCTCAATCATAGAGTTCGGACATAGCTTGGGGAAAAGCTATTAAAAAACATCTGTTGACTTCAAATGAAATTAGTTCCGGAAAGCAATGGAAATACTCCTAAATTCGTAAGCGATTACAACTAATTTGGATAACTGCATTTACATTTACTTTTAACCCAGAGTTATAGATGTATGCGCATGTTCGTATTAACGACTGAATAATTCTTAAAAATTGCAAAACAATAAAAGCATACGGACAAAAAAAAAACGACTGAAAGCAAGACAGATATTGTGCAGTTTTCATGAAATAAAAGGAAACAGCTTTAGTTTACAATTTTTTTTTTTTGTTTTCATGCAGGTTAATCAAATATTTATTTCAGCTCTTGTTCAAGATATATGAATTGAATATTATTAGATAAATACGTATGCATATATAAAAACTGCTATCGAAACGATGATCGGTTCCCGACATCACCTTTGCATAATTTTGTTTTTCATATTGCATATTGCACCAGATGTAGACAAAGAAAACTATTGAGAACATTATATGTATGTAAACAAAACTTAGCTTTCTCTTTTCGGTCACATATCCCAGCGGCGCTGCCCTTAAGCTCCAATTGTGGAAACTAAAGGACTATAATTTTAATACACTGTTAATATTTACCAAAAGAAAAATTTACCCTAAGAATGATCTATATTAAGCTCATACAATAATTATAGAAGAGCAACATTTATATAGAACAAGTTGTATTGGTATAAAATTATTGAATAAAGTTTTTAAAATAAATACAATATCACTAAAGTATATTTAGATCAAATAGAGGTTGGATCATACCAGACCAGCATCATGTGATTTGATTGGAGTCGAATCCATATTTTTCTATTGACTTTATAAGGTACCAATGAGCTTTTATGATTTCTTTATATATACGTATTTATTAATTATTTGGATTGACTAGCAACTCGGCTTATATCAAACTCTGGAAATACTATGGCAATCTCTCGCAGCGCAGAGACAGTGCTGTCTGATCCATGGCAAGCATTGCGAGTGTCTGATAGACCATAGAGAGAACGTAAGCACTCCGGTTCGGTATAGACCGCTCTAAAAACCTTGGTGGGCCCCATAAGATTACGCCATTTTTGTATACATGATTCAGATTGCAGTATGAAAGCGTAGCAGAAACCGCTAAAAAGGGAATATGTTGAAAATGTTTAATGTAAATGAAAATACTATACCTTTGCATGAGACTTGTTAACCGATAATAAAAAAATTTGTCTTTGTGTTCTGCATAAAAACACTCCGATAGCTCTTTAGTTATACGCAAGTCCTTAGCAGCCAAAATGTTAAAATTGGTTTCTATTTGTGTTTTTAACTGCTGTAATGCGTATGTGTTACGTACAACGTGCGGTTTCAATAATGCCAAAGAAATTTCCATATTTAATACTAGTTTTTACCAGGATCTTCTTTTTTAACTTTACCCCGATTATACCAAACATAAGCCATGTAAAGATTCCAATAACTCATACAATGCATATAACAGCTGTTTCTATCGATGACAATTATGCAGATACTGCTATTTTTAGTTTTACGCATTCACTGTCTTTAATTTAATAAATTCATCGTGAAACGGGCTGAGAGTGTGTTACACGCAAATTTAAATTAAGTATGTTAGGCTCCGCCACCGGATATCAGAAGTTCGTAAAAAGGTTTGTTAAAGTAAACTATTCATTCCCCATTCAACTTGTTTTTGCCTAGCGATAGAATTACCTAAAGAACTGTCAAGTATCTATCGGACTTTGTGGATATATCGATATTTGTCTAATCGAATTACACAAGCAAGAATTGCACCAAATTTATTTTTAACTTTATTTTAATAAAATAATTCAAAATGCCGTTTATGAAAGGAAGAGAGCCTATACGACGCAGCTTAAAATATTTAAATGCGGGCAAGCTAGTTCTAAAGGAAAGGGTGCGTGTATTCAGCGTCAGTTACAATACATATGGTAATCATCACGCGGGTGCCAGGTAAACGTGCATTAAAATATAATGATGATGCCAAATAATTATATCAATTTATAGGGATTTCGTGTTTTGGAACATTCCACAGATACAATTCAGAAATCCAGATGTACAGGTCGTCACTATTAAGAACATAACACCGTCACCGTTTGTGCGCTGTTTCTTTGAGGATGGACGGGATATGATAATCGACATAGATTCTAAAAGTTGTGATGAAATCATTGAGCACCTCACCAACGTTGTTGGAAAAACACGGTAAGTATTTGTTTCATGTTCAAACATGTTAGTATATTCACACGCTATATAAATTTCTAGCGAGGAACTAGTAGCCGCGGCGCGGTTGGCAGAGAGTAAGGACAATCCAGCTAATTTTGGATACAGATGCGAACGCCACTGCATCTGTGAAATACCCGGTCAAGTTTACTGTCCTGGCACAGTGCCTCTCCCAAAAGAAATTCGTGGAAAATTTAAATTTGCACAAAAATAAAAGAAAACTTTTATTATATCAAACAGCGAGCAAATCGTATATTCAATTTATAAATTAATTATGTAAGTACTGGGGGATATTACATAGGTTTAAATTAGTGTCGTTTGGGAAGCTGACGCATATATGGTGCCGATGCTTTAGATTTATTGTATTTGCCATATGGTCCAGCACGTTGTGCATCATCTCGACTCTTGTTATATTGGTAACGATGAATGATGGGCATATTGTGCTCGCGTCCGGTGGTGTTCAATTCCAAATTATCATCCGTCTGTCGCTCTAGAGCTTTAAGCTTGGCTTCTATGGCACGAATAGCCTCTGCTTTGCTAATCTTATCCTCGCGCTTGCCGCTGCCAAGTGCGGGTATTTCAATACGAGGCTTGGGCCTTTGTAGATCATCCTACGAATGAATTATTACATGTTACAACCTGCTATTTTTTTTTCAAACTAAATGAGTAATTTATTTACATATTTTATGTTCTTGGCAAGACGGACAGCTATGGAACGACTACCAACATTTGATCCGTCTAGTTTTCTAAGTGCATTTGTGGCGCCTTCGTTGTGTTTAAATGTGATAAATGCATATCCTCGCGACTGTCCCACCATTGGGCCGCCCTTGTGAAACAACATGTCAAACTTCTCAATAGCACCGCATTTTTGCATTAGTTTGAGAAGTTGAAACCGATAGTTGTCAAAGGAAAAGTATATATTAGTACAATTCAGGGAGAAGAAAACAATAACACACAATTGCACAGTTCACAACTTACTCGCTGATGCGTGAATCAAGGTTCCCCACCCAGATACGCCGATGTTCTTCAGAGATAGCTCCGACTGCAGAGTTTGAATTTTTGTTAATACTCTTAATCAAGCTCTTCTACAACAAAATTTAATGCGTAAGACTATTGTGAAATACTGTTTTAGTTTAATTTTTTGTAACATACATTTGCCATTTTTTTTTTTTGGTGATGATGATTTATTAAAATATCGATAGATGGACTTATGAATAGAGTATATCGCTTAATATTAGGGGTAGTCCCTTATGCCCAAATAATATGGTCATTCTTCGTTTGGGATATCATAGGGTAAAATCGACCCATGGGTCAAAAATGTGCATAATGAGCGAAAGTAATACTTTTCACTTAATTTACATCAGCATATTGGCGGAGGTGCCTAACTTTACGAGCTATTCATTAAATATACGAAATTAACAGTTATCGAACGCGCTCGCGACATTATATGCAAAGTGTTGTCAATTTGTCTATTTTCCTTTCTGTTGTATGCTTACACAAACACATATATTAACACAATATTTACACAATTATTAACTGGCTTAGTATCATCTATGTCGTATCATCTCTTTTTCAAGTATTTGGGTCAGCAACGGTGGCGTTGCTGTGTTGTAGTTTTGCAATAATACGAAATATTGCATCATCTTTAATGATGCTCCTTTGGTAGCATTTTTGTAGCTTGACAAAGAACCGTTAAAGCGCGGTGGCAAAGAAGTTGTCGCCGAGTGTAGTTTGAAAAGGCGCGAGAGTTGCTTACCTAACGCATTAAAATTCACTGCGCTCTTAAAATGGAAAATGACCGTTCGTTAACATCAGAAGTGGGATCGGCACCACCTCCCGCATTCTCAGAAGATCAGTGGCGCATAATCTTACAAATGCAACACCAAAATCTGCTGGAGCTTGTAAAAACTATGCAAGCGTCAACACGTGAACAGCAGACTTGTGGCATCACTTTACCGTATTTTTTATCAGAAGTCATTTGCAATCCGAATTAGGTGCATTCACCTTTCAATAACATCGAAATGCCTACCGCGATGACGATTCTAGACCTGTACCTATCGCCAAGAAGAGTAGAATGTCAATAAAAGTGTGCCATTTCTGTGGTAAACAAGGACATCAAATTGCTGAATGCATAACTAACAACAACTGGAGTTATGTTACAGCGCGTTGATATTTACCCAATTCTTCAAATATTGTTTCATGTGGTGCAAGATAATCGTTTGAAAACCAAGGATTTAATGTTACTGTATCACAAAATAAGTTTGAAGTGCAAAAGCCAAAGTCGTAAATATTAGTACAGTAGATAGAGAACTAGTTGTCCTTGCCAATCTTTATACCGAATTGTCCGAAACTGATCAAAACAAATTAAGAAAATTGTTTGAGAATTAACCCTTTGCATTTATCAAGGGGACACTAGTCACACGAGTTACTACAGGGGAATTGAAAATTCGCTTGATTGACTCAACCAAAACCGTACAATGCCGGCCCTACAGACTCAGCTCTGAAGAAAGAGACATTGTTAGAGAAAAGTTAAGTGTAATATCATTTGAAATGTTCCCCTTCTGCCAGTCCTATGCTGCTAGTCAACAAAATGGTGCAGATTGACTTTGTGTCGATTACAGAGAGTTAAATTCAAACACAATTGCATACAGATATCCCTTGCCGCCTATAAACGACCAGATTTCGAGATTGCTTGGCGCGAATTACTTTACGTGTCTTGGTATGGCAAGTGGTTTCCACCAAATTCCAATTTACCCTGATTCAATAGAATATACCCTTTTGTGACTTCGGAAGGTCAATACGAAGTCCTGACTATGCCGTTCGGACTTAAAAATGCGCCATCTGTTTTTCAACGGGCAGTCATGCGAGCCTTGGATGACCTGGCCTATTTATTTGTGATTGTCTACATGCACGATATAATGATCGTGTCACTCACAGTCGAGTTAGGGTTGGAAAGGTTAAAAACAGTACTAGACATTCTTACAGAGGCTGGATTCATTTTTAATATCAACAAATGTAGACTTTTAAAAACAGTTGTAAGAGCAGGAGAAATTCGACGAAATCCGCGGAAAATTGCTGCGTTAATATCCTGCCACCGCCCCAAACCGTTTTTAGTGTACTACAGTTTATTGTCCTTGCATCCTATTTTCAAAAATTTGTACCCGGATTCTCTCAAGTCATAAAGCCGTTATATTCTCTAACAGCAGGAACAGAAAGTTTTGCTTGGAATACAGAGTTGGAAAGTATTCATAAAAACGAACCAGTTCTGGTTATATTCGACCCACAATATCTACATTCACGTTGTGGAATGCTTTAGCAAAACAACTTCGCCAGCCGTGTCTAGGTACCACTCGTATGAACTCGAAACTTTGGCAGTATTTGCACAGTTCCGTCATTACTTGCTTGGCAGAGAATTTGTGATTTACACCGATTGCAATTCTTTAATGGCATCGTGAACCAAAATAGACCTAACTCCTAGAATTCATCGTTGGTGGTCTTATTTACAATCCTTCAATTTTTATATACAGTACAGAGAAGGAAAACATTTGGCATACGTCGAATTTTTATCTAGAAATCCAGTCCCTGAAAAACCACAATTAATTTTCGAAAAAATTTCCGAGAAGCGAATAAACATAGCGGAAATTTCAAATAATTGGCTGTTTGCCGAAAAGCAGCATGACCCAGATATTGTTGAGTTGTAAGGCGATGTAACTAAAACATATGATTTAAGACAAGGGCTTTTGTTTCGCAAAATCCAAAAAAATGGTAAAACACGATGCCCGAACTTTCAGATAGTCAGTAGTTATTCAGATACATGAGTCAATCTTGCACCTTGGTTGGAAAAAAACACTTGACCAGATTTACCAATTTTATTGGTTTGAGAAAACGAACAAATATGTCCGTAAATTTGATAACAATTGTATAACCTGTAGGTCAGCAAAGTCACATTCTGGTAAAGTTCAAGCAGAACTACATCCTATCCCAAAGGTCAGCATTCCTTGACACACTGTCCATGTGGACATTACTGGTAAATTAAGTGATAAAAGTGATCTAAAGGAATATATTATAGTTCAAATTGATGGCTTCACCAAATAATAATAATGATCAATGCTCGTCATATGTTTGCATATAAACAAGCTATGGACTATATTTTAAAACGCAGATCGGTTGGGGTTCAGGATAGCTTGAGCTTTTTACTTGTTTTATTTTTGTTTCTAGCCAAAATTTAAAAATTAAATAATTAACTACAAAAATACTTAAATATTGGTAATGTTGTGGATCATACTGTCTAATATGGATTCCCACAGCAACAATTCATTATCAGGGCATGTTCGTAGCAGGACTTGGCGTATAAAACGGAACAGTTGTAGATAGCGCAATGAGAGGGATGCAACTGGTGTCCTGCCGTTGACATGTAAATAGTTTGTTTGTTTGCCACATAAAATATGTACTTACCTGGAAATCCACAACAACACACATCATGTTCCACTTTGTGCGAGCAATAGGAGTAGACAGATGAGTCACACAGTGGACAATCTAGACCTGTTCTAATCGATAGATAGCTTAAGACTGGGTCTAGTCCCACAGGGCTCGAAACGCCGCCTAAGTCCTTATTGGGCTCGACCCAAAATTGACGTGCTAGAATTGTTAAAAGAGTAACAATATTGAACTAATTTTAATAAACAGCATTAGGAATATGTAACCATTATTTTTGTAATTCACATTTAAAACCCAACTTATCTTCTATTCTTTCACCTACCCGTTCTTCCTTTTTTAGCTAATACTGAATGGTCCAACCAAAATATTAATGCTATGCACACCACGAAATAACGTATCAATTTTGGTCTTGGCCGATCCATGGCAGATGCTGGATTTGCTGCTGTTGTGGCCGGCTGGCGAATGTGGACTGCATTAGCTTACATTTTTATAAAGCGACGATGAAGTTGGAGATGACGCAATAGATGTCAATGTATGCGTTGGTCTTGATCGGCTGACTTTCGCTCTCAAGAGTTAGTTAATTTTTGGACGGTGTCGTAAATAATCTATTGACTAAAAAAACAAGTAAGAAAGCTCTAGTCGAGGTGCCCGACTAGGAGATACCCTCATCCCAGTTCTTTGAGTTTTTAATATTTTCCGTAGTTTGTATCGAGTATTCAAAAAAAAAAGAAAGCAAATAAAAAACGACATTGCAAGACTAGGTTTCGAACCCGGATTGTTTGCGCAACATGCACCAACTCTACTAACACCGCCACTTCATAATTAAAAAAAAAAAAATTAATCAATAAAAAATATCTCGTTGCCACGAGGATTGAACCCGAGACTAAACCCTATCAAGCGCCGCCTCTATCAACGCAGCCACTGCACCTCTTGCAAGAAGAGTTGCAAATTTGAAGTTGAGCTGCAGATGATAATTCAAGCATTATTCAATCGCAATTTAGATTCTTCGAATAGAAAAGAATACACGCCTTTGAATGTATTTGTGCACACGCATAGGAAAAATGAGTGCGCGTGGCGCTGCTGACATGTGCTTTTGCAAATTGGCCAAACGTTTTGTTTAATAACTTCTGTTTTACTTAATGGATTTTAATGAAATATTCAGCATATGATTTACATATCCTATTGGATTGGTTGATATGCAAACGCCTTCACATAATGGCCCTAGTTCCAACTGAACTGAAATTTTAAGAATTTGGGGAAATTTGGAGCTGGTATCCAAAATCCAACAATATATATATATATATATATATATATATATATATATATATATATATATATTGTTGGATTTTGGATACCAGCTCCAAATTTCCCCAAATTCTTAAAATTTCAGTTCAGTTGGAACTAGGGCCATTATGTGAAGGCGTTTGCATATCAACCAATCCAATATATATATATATATATATATATATATATATATATATATATATATATATATATATGTATGTATATATGTATATATATATATATATATGTATGTATATATATACTTATATATACTTCATGGGGTCTGCTACGCTTCCTTCTGCCTGTTACATATTATTGCGCAAAACCATTATACCCTGATTTCCCATTTTCAGGGATCAGGGTATAAAAAAACAAAAGTAAAGCATCATGCACTTTCAAATGCAGAAGAGTCCTGTAAAAGTAACATAAAAGCTATTAACTAAATTTATTTAGTTCTATTACATTTCAGTAACATAGAAGTTATTAATGAACCACGTAACAATTGGCGCCACGCGTAGGTGCTTACTTAATGCATAAGTATGTGCATTTAACGGTACACTCTTATAGGAGTGGGGTGGAACTAACGGTGGCTTGTGTGAAGAATTTGTGAATTCGGAATATTTTTACTGTTTTTTACGCTGACGTATTCAAATCCCTTGCGATTCGAATTAGAATCTTGAAGGGCACAGTGTATATTGTCAAATCACATCCAGTTTTCGTGTTGACGTTTCAGGTTTTCCAGTCCTTTAATTAAGAAACGTATGTGATCGTAAATTGTTAATAATTACATTCTTACACAAAAATAGCAAATCTGCTTCGAAAAATAGAAAGTGATTTGGCAGTTGTTTACCTTTGCATGCCATATTTACACATAGATTATTGTAATAAGAACAGATCGGGAACATAAGTAATGGAACTAATTATGTCCAACAGTGGGGACGCATGTGTATATGCGTCTATGATTGTGTGAGTTCAGGGTATCTCTTTGTCGTTCCCTTCTGTCGCATTTGAAAAAACGACAAAAATGATAGACTGTTTTGTAAAATTAAAATAAAAAAAACAAAGCGAAAAAAAATTTTTATTTATTGTTAAAGCGAAAATCGAAATTATAAATTGCCCAATAGAAAAGTAAAAGTTTTTAAAGCTGAACGCTGACCGATTCACAGTGATCTACTTGAGAGTGTTCGACTAACAGATACCCATGAAATATAAAAAAATCTTATAAAAGACTCTAAATTCCTATTTTGAATGCGCTCAGGGTATAAAAATAAGAAGCAATGTTTCAATCGGGTGCTTCTGATTGCGTAATGTCACTAACCTACAACCAGTATTGCCAATCTGGCTATTTTCTAGCCAGTTCTAGCATTTTACAAAGACATGACGAGGGAAACATGTAAAATAGCGGCTGGAAGTCAATTATATATAATTTAAGGGAGTTATATAACTTTTTAACAACTTTACTGTCAAAATCTCAAATTTGCATGTGTACTAATAAATTGCTTTACACGTCGGCACTAATATGCTCATTAATATGTTCAATTGGAAGCTTTAAATGCTAAAATTGTGTTTGGCTAAAATCAGCAGATATCCAGAAGACAGTAAACGTTAGATTGTAGTTATCATAATTTGCTCTGAGTCGTTTATCCTTGAATGGTGTAACTCAAAAGTTGAACGCGTTTTCAGTGAAATGAACATAATTAAGTCAAAATTAAGACTTAATTTCCTTATTTATTTGTTTATAAGTGTTTTTAATAATATAAATATAAAAATATTTGTTTTGTTTTTAGAGATTTTTGAAATTGTTTCTTAACATCTAATCATACAACAATTGATGGGATGTCTGGAACAAACTTTCAACGCATAAAGTTTGATAATTGGGTCCCACTCAACTTCGGCTCTCTTACTGTTCTTTTTTAAAAAATATGGGACCTTAACGTTAGTGTGCTTCGATCGCTTAATCGGTTACTTTTCATATAAAGTCCCATTATGCTAAAGTATTCAGTGTGCTCTCTTTCACTGCTCTAAATATGTATTAGAAGTCCGCATAAATGGCAAAAGTTACATTCCAGTGAACAATACTCAAAATGCGTTGAGTGTAATTGAATGCGAATCCCAATAAGTTGGAATGAGTGAGCGCGCTCGCATAATACTCGGTCGCACAACATTCAAGCCAAAACAAAACGAGGTGAATGAATGGGAATGCGTGAATTATGTACTTCTTTTAATAAGAGTTAATACATGCACTTTATTTGAGGCATGAAACACAATTTTTATTAAAAGAAGTACATAATTGGCGCAGCCGGTTGGATGTTGTTCTTATTTTATTATCAAGGTCTCTTACGCTTGTTACTCTTAAGTTATTACACTGCCTAGTTAGTCCCATCTGATCCGTTCTTGGTCTATAGTGATGTCTTAAACAATTTTTGCACTCCGTCCAATTTTTTGGTGGATTAATGTTAAGCATAGCTCTAGCCTAACCTTGAATTTTGGTGATGAATATGACAGTGAAGACCTGGTCGTTGTCATCGTACTCCTCCATGATCTGATCCACTAATCGGATTTTTGCCTTCACTTTCTCTTGCGATAATTACGTTTGTTAACAGTTGAATGCCTTGCTGCAATTCAAAGATTTGTTGTTGTTTTGCCATTGTACAGTTTTTTTTTTGTTTCGTTGTCTTGGATATATACATGTCCAAAGTCAATTCTTTTAATTTTGTTCACTTTCATAAGATTTCACAAAAGTTTTCGATTGATGTCATTGATGTTGTTTATAGCTAAGGAATAAGAAATTATGCCACACTAAATTTCGGCCTTCCTCTAATACACTCAGCTTATTTTTTTCTGAGTCCATTTGTCAAATTTTTCATTCCGTTTTACGCTTTATTTATTCTCACTAATTTTTTTAAATGATGTATGCTATGAGACCCCCTACACGCACTCATATTGAAACACATTGGCTTTATTGTGTGCCTCGCACTCAATTCAATTTGAGTACCTTTCGTGCAGATCTCTTCTATGTCTGCACAAAGCAATAGTGCCCGAAAATTGGAATTTGTTCTTCAAGATGTTACAGTTTACCTGACAGAAGCGTTTAAAAAATCAAGATGTCATGCAAACTCTTCCGAAGTTATAATTTTCAATATTATTTGTGGAAAATTCATGAAAGCGTCGATTCTCATCAAAAATAATTTCATAAGATAATTGCGCAAACATTTGCAGTCCATCGTATGTGAAACTCTAGATGTCGAAATTGTAAAGGCTTAAAATGTATACAATACAGTACAATGCAATAATATATGTATATGTACCTTTTTCGAGGCTGAACCCAACTGTATTGAAATTTTACTTCCATTTTTACAGTTGAAGCTCTCATATTTGTTAAGTAGGTTATTATTCCCCCCTCGAGATCAACCAAAAATTTGAATTTCCTACTGGGTACTATCGGTACTTACTATATAGTGTTGAATATATACCCTATTATCCTATTATCATGTACGAACACTAGCCACTGTGCCCGATCAGTAGATAACCTCAGCCTGGCTGATCGGCGTTTTTAAATATACTTTATACCTTGTAATCTATGCATATGCAGCTATAATAGTAAATTCACACTTATTTGTTTGTATGTAAATCATGGTCCCACAGCATTGTACTCGCACCTCCATAATAAAATAACATGTTTGTAAAAAAATTGAGTTTACAACCTTATTGACGCGTATTGCATTCACCAAACCTAATCAATGGTTCGAGTGCTAAATAGGGACATGCAAGGAAATGGATATTTGATGTGTCTAGCTGTTTTAAGTTCTGAGATCGTCGTCCTTTTCAAATATATAAGGACAGACGAACGGACTCGGGTTGGGGTTATGGGGTTTACATCGCCTACTTCTGCCTGTTCATATATTTATCGAAATCATTTTTTCATGATTTAATATTTTCAATGTGTCAATGTGTACTAGTGTTTGATAAGTGGTGGCTGCCTTTTTGCATATGCATGTACATCCATATATGTACATACATATATATGTATGTATAGTTTGCATTAAGTAAAGCGACTCGAATACTCCAGGAATTAGATTTAGCATTGTGAAAGTACTTATGACAATTGTGATTGCAATAACTTTTGGATCACTGTGCAAAACAAATTGGAAAAATTGGACAAAAGACGTAGTCAGAAGCGGATGCAGACTGCCAGCGACAGTCTCATAGCAAAAATATCAAGTGTTAAAAAAACGATGGCCAGAGAATGGAAGACCGCAAGAAGAAAGCGAATTGCGTAATATTTACATATTTATATTTAACTGTGACGCCGGCCGTAGCGGAAACATCAGTGGAACAGCGGGCACAGGGAAACTGAAACTAGGCATAAGTGCGAGAGCAGGCAATAGTGGTTGGACCCGCATAACTGCAGCTCAAACAAACTGAAATATGGGCGCGGCCTACGCACAGCAGCCAGCAGAAGAAAGCCAAGCGAACATCTAAAATTACTCACAGCATTGGAATGCAATTTCACTTCTTTAAATATTTTCTCAATAATTGCGCGTTTTTGTTATCTTTCTGTTATACGGCAACACACTTATGTACATACATAAGCACATATAACACACTATAAATTGGGTGATTTCATGTTTGCTGTTATTTGTGGGGAAAAAATTATTTTTATTTAAAAAGGCTATTAGAAATTCAATTACATCCGCCAACACAAAACTTTTAAGAACAATTTAATTTTTAATTGAATTGGACTAATTTTCATTAAATAAATTAACACTTGCCTTGTTTATACAATATGCCTCGCATGATTGAAAATTCCTAATGTACATAAATATGTTACACTCAATATTAAAAGTGATAGAATATGATATTCTTTCCAATAATACTATATATATATATATATATATATATATATATATATATATATATATATATATATATATATATATTTATTTATACATAAGTTTAATTTTGATATTCCAGGTCGCACACTGCTTAAACTCATATGCATACAGAGTTCATGTGTATATATATTTACATAAAATGTGTGTGAAAATCTTGCAAAACTGGTCGAGTAGTAGATACATTTTATCTCTCTTTCACGTGCCTTACTCTTTCCCTTTCAACGTTGCTTTGATGCCTGTCCCTTTGGCGAGCATCTGGTGGTGATTGTGACGTCGTATTTTCGAGTTTATTTATTTTTATAAGCCCCGTTCATTGAAGTTACGTAGAAAAGGTTTAATGACTATGTCCCAATGTATGTGACATCAGAAGAAGGCTTAACTTTCCATCTACATGAATGCGTTAATTTTAGAAGCCACATGATCCGAAAAATGATTTAAATATATTATCACATTTAAATGTCCTTTAACAAGGTCAGATGCTTCTGTGCAATTAAAATGATATCAGTTTTATGAAAGACAAGGAATCTAATTTGTATTGCATGTAAATGTATAATATATAACGATATATTACTTAAAAAGCCAATTCACCGCTGTGTACAGAGTATATAGAAGTCAACAACTCTTGTTTGCAGTACTCTGTTTTTTACAAAATTTCTTCACTTTCAGTTTCGTGTTTTTTAACTCTACCTGCGGCGGCATCGACGTTGCCGACGTTGGCTATTACCTATATGAGCTGGGGTTATCATCTCTGCGGCACTATTTTGAATTTGAGACTGTCAAGTAACAGACGGTCTGTAGCTGAATCGTAGTCGTATCGTATTTTTCGTGTAGTACAACGAGGTTCCACCACAGTTGAAATTGCCTTCCTAAATTTTTGTCGCGTCCTCGTGCAGTAGCAAATCTGTTGACTTTTTTTTAAAGTGCCATACAAAGAATTACGCAAAGCGTATTAGGTAACGAATACGTATTTCACGAAGCCTAACATTTTTCAGCGAGAACAAAAGTTTCGGATTACAATCTAAATTCTTCACAGTATAACGGAGACCCCCACCGTGGTAATGAAAATTATACGAAGTAGTTCACAAAAATATATTTTTTAATTGTGATTGCAAAAATTCGATGCAATAAATAAGATCAATTTAAAAAGAGTCTTCATAAAGATCATAATCTTATGCAAGTACCCTTTAAATATAACACCAATTCATTGACGTTAAGAGTTAAAATAGTGTATTTACTGTCTAAATGTATTTATCAAAACCTCATTTATATTCAATGACTATTTGTTTCTATTGCACATGCAAATATTAGATAGGGCTGTTTATTTTTGTTATTTATGTGGGTTGGTTGTTTATATGAAAGTTAATGATTGTTTTCTTAACAAAAGTGAAAGCTTGGTGCTCGGTAACCAAATTTTAAATTAAGAAAGGGTATATTGATTTTGACAAAACGTATGTAACAGGCAGATGGATGCGTATCAGCTTCAATGGATGATCCTGTTTGACTCTTTATGAGTCTTTCTTTTTGATACCTTTCAAATTATGATTTAAAATTATGAATAATTCGACTATGTTGTAAAAATAAAAATAAATATTTGATATTCAAACATTTATAAACATTTATATACCAAGGACATACAATTTGGTACAAAGACTCCTGACTTATACTTATACTGTCTCAAAGTAGCATAAATTAAATTTTATACTTTAACATTTCGTCTTAAAGTTGAAATCACTGGAAGTTGGTCTGATTGAAGACAAGAGTAATTTTACTTGTATTTGTTAAAGTGTATGTAGGATGCAAATAAACAAGTGGACGATATTTAAAGTACATATATTTTTGAATAGTATTAACATCTGCATGAAGCCAGGCATTTGCGGAGTATAAAGACTATATTATGTTAATTGTTTAATATTTTTTGTTTACGCGTTGAAACCTTTATGCATAAAACTCGTTACGATGATGAACTGTTGTAACAACTTTTCCATTTTTAAATGTTGTAGACATTTATCTCATTCCCGAATTCTAAAAAATCGACAAATCGCATTGCATTGTAAAAACAGCCGATTTTGTAGTGGTTTTTATGTAATTGATTTGCTTGAGCTTTGCAATTTACGCATCCTCACAAATGAGATTCAGTGGAGAGTTACTGATGTTGTGCCCATCATACCTTGGCTGAGAGAAGAGAAAGTTATTACCTAGGTTTGGAATTTTTTATTAACTTATTTTTTATATTGGGCGTTACTTGGTCTGCGTATGACACTTAGCTACAGCTCTTTCATATTCAGTAGGCAGAACTGGCTAACACGCTGAATCTTAAGTATAGACATAAATTTGTGTGTATGTGTACGGTTTTCCATGGTGCATATTATGTAATAGTTGGGATGATCGAAGATAGGGCAACTACGTTCATACGATCATACGATCATACGATCTTAGTCGGGAGAGCCCGACTTGGAGATATCCTGAACCCTGTCTGATCTGTGTTTTTAAATATACTATATAGCTTGTTAAACATATTCAAGCTCGCCTTTTCATAATCAAAAATTATGTTATTCAACTTTTTATACCCTGATCCCATTAAAAATGGGAAATCAGGGTATAATGGTTTTGTGCAAATGTATGTAACAGGCAGAAGGAGGCGTGGCAGACCCCATAAAGTATATATATTCTTGATCAGGACGACAAGCCGAGTCGATTGAGCCCTGTCCGTCTGTCTGTCCGTCCGTCTGTCCGTCTGTCCGTATGTGTGAACGCGTGGATCTCAGCATCAATAAGAGCTAGAGACTTGAAATTTTTTTTTTAGGTCCGTGTATAGCACGCGCAGGTCAAGTTTGTTTTAAATATTCGATAACTATTCGCATTTAATTGTTATCGAATAAAAACATTATTGAAATGCAGTAAATAAATTATATCTCGAACGTCTTAAGAGCTAGAGCCTCCAAATTTTGTATTTAGTCTTATATATATTTTATGCAATTTTGATTTTTGTTGGATTTTGGATACCGGCTCCAAATTCCCCCAAATTCTTAGAATTTAAGTTTAGTTGGAACTAGGGCCATTATGTGAAGGCGTTTGCATCTCAACCAAGTCAATAGGATATGTAGATCATATGCTGAAAATTTCATTAAAATCCATTAAGTAAAACAGAAGTTATTAAACAAAACGTTTGGCCAATTTCCAAAAGCACATGTCAGCAGCGCCACGCGCACGCATTTTTCCTATGCGTGTGCACACATACATTCAAATGCGTGTATTCTTTTCTATTCCAAGAATTGAAATTGCGATTGAATTGTGCTGAATTATTAGCTGCTACTTATGTTCAAATTTGCAACAGTTCGCGTAAGAAGAGCAGTGGCTGCGTTGGTAGAGGCGCCGCTCGTATGCAGCCTGGTCCGGGTTCGTGACCAGAGGAGATGAAATGTTTTTTATTGTTTTATTTTTTTTTTTAGTTATGAAGTGGCGGTGTTGGTAGAGTTTGTGCACGTTGCGCAAATAATCCGGGTTCGAATCCTGGTCTCGCAATGCCGATTTTTATTTGTTTTCTTTTTTTTTTAATACTCGATACAAACTACGGAAAATATTACAAAACTCAAAGGACTGGGATCAGGGTATCTCCTAGTCGGGCACCCCGACTAGAGCTTTCTTACTTGTTTTTAGATAATTTAATGTTTACAACAGGGTTTCTAAATGTCGGACACTCCCTGTTCTTTTGTCTATTGTTTAACATCAAAACCAATTATTTTTGCTTAAAATTTTTATGACTAAAGCAATGGCTATTTGTGTAAATAAAAAGTAGTTACGATGATGAGCAACTTTTTAATTAGCAACTTTTTAATTTTTAAGCTAAGTCGTCATTATTTAATCACTTTCATCTCATTACCGAAGACTATGCAAAAACGTACGAGATATAATTTAATAGCCGAATTTCGATAATCGGTAACAATAAAATGGAAATAGTAATACATTATTAATTAGATATTAATACAAACAGACAAACAGACGAACGTGTTTATTAACAGTTTTAGAATACCTTCCAACCAACTGCATAATATTCTTTCTAGGTTTGCAATTATTTAAAAATGTATATATCCTTAATGTGTAAACACTAATTTTTAGCTATAGTGAAGATTACTAATGATAAACCTGGTAATCCAAGTTCCTTAAATATACATATTTTTTTATACCCTGATCCCATTGAAAAAGGAAAATCGCATTTAATTGTTATCGAATAAAAACATGATTAAAATGCAGTTATTAAATTATATCTCGGACGTCTTAAGAGCTAGAGCCTCCAAATTTGGTATTTACTTTTATGTATATTTTATGCAGTTTTGGGTTTTGTTCGATTTTGGATACCGGCTCCAAATTTCCCCAAATTCTTAAAACTTAAGTTTAGTTGAAACTAGGGCCATTATGTGACGGCGTTTGCATCTCAACCAAGCCAATAGGATATGTAGATCATATGCTGAAAATTTCATTAAGTAAAACAGAAGTTATTAAATAAACGTTTGGCCAATTTGCAAAAGCACATATCAGTACCGCCACCCGCAATCATTTTTAATATGCGTGTGCATACATACATTCAAATGCGTGTATTCTTTTCTATTCGAACAATCGAAATTGCGATTGAATACTGCTTGAATTATCAGCTGCTACTCAACTTCAAATTTGCAACTCCTCTTGCCAGCGGTGCAGTGGCTGCGTCGGTTGAGGCTGCGCTCGTAAGCTGGTAATGCCTGGGTTCGAAACTCGCGGCGATGAGATATTTTTTATTGGTTTTTTATTTTTTTAAATTATGAAGTTGTTATTTATAAACCTTTCTTATAGATAGAATAAAAACTGTATTGTACCATTTTGCTACGCTTTTCATTCTTACACTAGTTTTTTTCAGATGATGTTGCGGCTTGCTTTACTGTCGTCTTTCTGCTTTTGTGTTGCTAGGGCTGTGCTAAACGGACAAGAGCTTAAGCGGCTTGCAACCGGGGTTGACGTTTACGGACCACCAACTGGGTCAGCATTACAATACAATGCTTCACCACAGCATATACCACATCGTGAGTATGGGGTTCCCCAACAAATTTCCTTCCAAGAGTACGGCCCGCCGGCTTTAAAATATGGTCCTCTGAAGCTGAATAATTTTGGTGGAAATTCTGGGAAGTCCACGAATGGATTGTATGAGCAAATTAAAACACACTTTGGCGTTCCCACACCTTTCTATGGACCTCCGCATGTTCATTATAAGCTCGCATCGGAATATGGTCGGCCACAAATAGCATCACATTATGGTCCGCCACAAAATGTTGTTTCGCAGCATCCACCACCTTTAAAAATTCAGAATCGTCCGGCACCACACTATGTATCACCACCACAAAACCCGAAGATTTTCACACCGCCAGTCTCATCACAGTTATTGCCTGTTGCCCATCCTGGTAAACTTTTTAAGCCCATCCACCATCCTGCAACGTCTTACGGCCCACCCGCCTCTGGACCATTAAATCTGCCAGCTAGGCCAGATTACGAAACTCCACCAAACTACGGACCACCTCCACTGCCCGTTAATTTACCCGGACCTCAGGCTGCAAGTTTCAACCGTGTCCCAGAAACGACTATTTTATTAAGTAGTCCGGGTGTGCAGCGGTTACCAAGCGGTCCAGGTGGTAGTCCCTTTAATCAAGTTCAGATCCAAATAGATGCCTCTGGACACACTCATAGCGTGACCGGTTCGCAGACACCTTTTCATACTGCATGTGATGGCTGGAAGCCAATTTCACCGCCTGTTGGAACCTACATTGAACAAAATCATATTGAAACTCAGGGTGGTTACAGTCATGTCGACCAGGGCCAAAGCATTGGTACTCAATATAATGTGGGTGGAGTCAATAGTGGCACAATTGTTGACGGCCTTTCTGACGAGCAACTTGTAGCAGTCGCACTACAGAATGAAGCCAGTAACACAGTCACTGGCGCTGGCAGCGATGTTCTCTTGAACACCATTGACTCTGAAGCTTTACAGGTTGGTGATCATACTGTAAACGTAATAATAAAGTAATATAGTGCTGATATCATTTTATTTATTTTACGATTAGGTTACAGTTGGCGCAATCGATGATACCTACTCCAAGCCTCCGGAAGATTCATTTCAACCTGGCTCTGTTCATAATCACAAATACCAGAATGTTGGTAGCCACTCTGGGGCAGGTCTGCCACTACTGCATGATTCTGGTCCGAAGTATGGTGCTCCACCGCAACTGCAGCTTGCTGCTCTGACTAGCAGACACGTTCAGCCCCAAGCCAACTCACATTTACGTTTCAATTCGAACCTATCGTATGGTTCACACTCAGCCAATACACAGTATGGGGTTGGGCATCCTAAGTCACCAGTCGCGTACCGTCCACCCGTGCCAACTGGTTTTATAGAGTCTATAGGCGCCACAGTTCAGCATCTGGATGAATTTGGTGTAAAGCCACCACAGCAGACACCAATATACATTCCGCCGGCAGCTCATGAAATTGCATTAAGCGGTTCACCTTCTACAGCACCGGTCATATACGGCGCACCCGTTAATCAACAGGCGCCACCAACGATTATTGTGCAACAACTCCCGCAGCTTCATCAAGGACCTACTTTTTTAAACGGTCCGCCTAGTGTAAAGTCGTTACAGCATCCTCATTATATTCCCCTACCACAGGAACCGCAAAGCGCAAATGCGCTGAACCAATATTTTCCAGATAGACCTTCTGCAAATATTCATTTTCCGAGCCATCAGCCAATTAACAATAATGGTATCTCCCAACAGAAGCCATCGTTTGACTATTCGCAGGCATTTTCATTAACGCAGAAAATTCCACGGCCTAACCAGCAAA